AATCCTTCCTTCCGGCTGAAAAAAGGGCCCTCTTCGCTCCGACAGCGGCCGACCGTTTTCAAAAATCCATTCTTCGCCATCCAACCGGCGCGGCGTCCCCTTCAAAAGCCCCGGCACTTTCAACAATGAGAGAAATAAATGAAAAGAGGAAAAATATAGAGCCCGATGGATAATAAAGCATTGTCTGTCCGTCCGTCCGAGGCAATTGACAAATGGAGTGTGTGCCCCGGCGTACCTTGTAGCTTTGTGACGTAAACCTTTTGTGCTACACAAATATCCCCCTGGCATCGGTTAAATTAAATGTCCAATAATAGGACTTTTTTAATTGCCAATTGTGAGTTAAAAACTTAACTTAAACCATAGTGAGTGGTTACATGAATCAAACTGCACATAAATTAATTTTTCTTTGCTTAAAGATAATATTTACAAATCGCCAATGAATTGACTAATTTTATACGAGAATTGTGATGGAAATATTTCAACAAAATCTAGAAAAAATTGAATAAATTAGAGGCATGTTGGTTTATATTGCCTCGAACTTAAATATTTTTTTGTCAGATCTTACTCTCGCTTGGTGTCTGTGATTTGTAATCAAAGAGCCAGGATAAAATAGCAACTGAAAATTTTACAGTGGATTCCGTTTAACAATACATTTGGCGTCTTGGGTGAAAACAAATGAATCTTCATTAACAATATACAAAGGCGGATTTGGAAAGTTTAATGGAAAATCATTTTCTAAAATTGTTAAGTGTAAAATGGTTAATATACCAATTTTCGTGCTTTCAGTTAATACAATGGACAATTTCTTAGTGTGCCCTGAGAAGGAAATGAACCTGTCGTTGATACCGATCATATTTCGTCTGGGTTTTTGATAATATGCTAGTGACAACCCTCTTATCACACTGTAAATATATATAAAACTAAAAAAATCCTTTGGAGTGTCTGTTTGTATTGGATATTCCATCACTAACACCCTACAAAATGTACTCTAACGTTCACGCTAGTTAATAGATTCGCTCAAGTATATTATTTATTCATTAAGTATTTTATTTCAACCAACATATTAAAGTATTTTTAACGAATCAATCTCTTAATATAATCACTACTGCAGTTTAAAAGTTGCTTGCAGATCTTATTCTTGGCGACGCCTTGCACTCTACTACTACTACTATATGTCTTTATTGTTTAAAATATATACAAAGTTTACAGATCGGCAGTATATATTACAGAGCAAGAAAGACGTTCCTCATGGTTTAAAACCGTCTGAGGGAGTCTAGCACATAAACTTATATAACTAAAATCTCTCTTCTTAGTATTTACAAGTAATTATAATTAGTATTTACAAAAGGAATACATACTTTCTTCAAAAATTTCAGTAATGTAATAATAGAACATAATTATATAATAATAGCTGAAACATGATTGCAAATATATACATCTCTTATTTATGATTACGTAAAATGCACATAACTCAATAATAAAATAAACTAAAGTAAAGTAAATGGAAATAATAAAAGTAAAATAAATAATAATTGCATACATTATCTACATACACATACATTATTTACCACAAGAGATAATAGTAAAAAACAAATCAAATAATAAGTGTTTAAGATGTAATATTCAGGTCGAAGATGAGCTTTTCACCTATTCAGGGGAATCCGACAAAAGAAGCCGCCTCCACCCTCACCAGGTGCTCTGATTCTGGCTCTAACAGAATAAGCCTCTTTGCAGAAATTTATCAACACAGTCCAATCCTTGCCATTAATATATTCTAGCATAATCTCACTAGACAGAGTTTCCCTACACTCTGTTAATATATATTTTACAGATATTTGACCGCCACATAAAGGAACCGTAGTCTTTCTTTGGTGAGGTGATCCCTCGTGGTTGGATGGTGTTTCGTGAATTTCTTGGATTAGTGGGTCTATGGAGAACATATCACAGATCACTAAGATGGCGCGGAGCAGCTCAGTACAAATAGGAATAACGAATTGATGATTGCTGTTGTAAATACTTTCGTGGACGGTGTGTATGGTCATAGCAATATTCGATATATTTTATCGAAATCGTAACACTAATCAATGTTTGCAAAGAAGACCGAGTATATTTTGAAAAAAAAAGTTTATATTCTGCAATCAAGAAGTGAAAAAATCTTACGTGATACTAAAATGTCAAATGTCAAATACTCGGTCGTCCTTAAAAGGACAATGAGGATCCTTATCGTCTGTACCTGGCTCATGGCCTTACCGGACGTTTTCATTCGCAAGATGAGAGATGACGCACCCCCGCTCACGAATGAATGTGTGTTACAGCCGCAAGCGTTGGTGTAGAAGTTGTCCCAACACCGAGGAGCCAAGACGAACCTCCCTGCTTGCCCATTCCGAGTGATCGGGTCTGCATTGAGCATAGACCGTATGCCGCGCTTAAAGGGCTACCCAAGGTGGCTGAAATGCATCAGCCTGGTCTCCCACGCACTCCCTAGATAGAGAAGGCCACTCTATCTCTCAGAGTATAGGTGCTCCTCCAGCGTAAGAACTTCCGGATCCGCTCCGGCTGCCCTCCAGTAGTGTCACCACTAAGCTACTACGTGTCCGTTGCCAAATAGCAGGGGCTGGATTTTGGAAAATTTCTGCCCTCAAGGCTACACCTTTATTTTGCGCCTCGATACCCCCCCCTTGCAATCAAGAGTTGGGCGAGGTCTTAAGAAGAATGCCGAAGGGCCTGAATTAAGAACGGGAAGTGAACGAGGACACTTAGAAAAACGCCATGTAAAAGACTTGATCAAGAAAGTCTAGAAAAATTCAGGATCATTGCTGATCTGTGACCGGACAATCATAGGGTGGCAGAAGATATATTTGTGTGTAGGTTTCATCATGAAGAATAGGAAACCGCATTACATAATAATTCCTGCGAGGGCCTAACCAGGGCATGTGAGAAGAATTCAAATTGATGCAGAAAATACAACTAAGGTGTTCCTATCAAGGTAAAAATAATCACAACAATGCGTCTGATGGACGAAGTGCTAAAGTTTCTTAAGCCACGTCACCAAATCCTATCAACTGTAATCTACAATACCATCATAATAAGATCATGTAATGAGATTGAAACGGTCTCAGTTTAGTGGAAAAATAAATTAAAACCAATACAAGCAAAACTTTATTTTTAGCTAAACAATGCAAACAAAAAAATAATGCAGCCTAGCATAACCCTAAAAATAATAAATTTGGCTAAAATATAAGGTACAAGTTTTACATATATTGGCGTTAGCTAGAATCTTAACAAGAAAAACGATCAAAACAATTAACTTTGTAATATTTTTGTATGCGTGAGATGTTCATAATTGGCAAATAGTCATTAATTTACAATGACAACTCATCGCATGCCGTTGTTTGAGAGTAATGTAAACAAATTAGAAAATTACTTTAAGAGAAGTTAATTAGTTAAGTAGACACACGTGTTGACGGTAGAGAGACGAGATGAAGTTATGAAAGTTTAAAGCCCGGCTAATCATGGCGAGGGGGGCGGTAAGGGCTTGTTGTCTCAAACGAGGGGCAGTAAAGGTTGAAGGGACAGGGGGCCGGCCTTCTTGTTACGCGATGGAGGGACCTTCTTTGACAACTTGTTACGGGTTAGTGCCACTCGTAAAACCCGTACCCGTACGAAAGGGGAAAAAGGGACATCTCTTCGACTCTAACATTTTCCAAGAGGCGCCTGTCGTAAAATTTTTGGCTATGATTAACGGAAAGACTTTCCTCGCCTCGAGGGACGGGTATAAACATGTTAGAACCGTATTTTACAACGTAACTTACTGTTTTTATACCTGCAACGTTTTAATATTGTATTAAGTGTTTCACTGTAGTATATACGCTCAATTACTAGAGCTTTTTTTTATTTTTGTGAAGTATTCTATGTCCTATCGGCGTTAAAATAACCGAGGGATTACAACTCTCACAAAGATTCGAGCCAACAACAAAAGTTTTCCATGTCATATTATCAATAAAATTTTATACAATTTTATATAGCTAGCTCAGATTGTATGATGCTCCTAGACCAGCCTTTCTACCAGGTAAGGGACCCACCAACAGCGTTGTTTTATTTAACAGATGACTTTCAAATCTGATCTTTTGCCTGTACGAAAGTGGTTTTGCCTTTACAACTTACACGCAAGGGTTCTGTCTACAGTGGCCGGAAAGTGAACTCTAAACTATGTTAAGAGGGTTACAATAGATCCACTAAAGGAGAGTACCTCGAATCATCAAATCTAATCTTAGGGATAAAAGAGGCAGCCAGACGGCCTTCTGCACCTCGCATGAGGCTGAGGCCCTGAGTGCTGCCTGGCTCTCAGAGAAAATGGCTATCCTCCGGGAGTGTATTCCTACCTTTTTTATTTCTCTAGCACATTGTTCAATCGGTATGATTTCAGACTGGAAAACTGTAGCATAGTTACCTAGGTTTACCGTCGTTCATGTCTTGGGGTTCATCCCGAAGACCCCAGCTCCCGTACCCTTGTCGGTTTTGGAGCCGTCAGAAATCTAATCTTAATCATTTTAATTTAGTTGTTGATATTGATAATGACCGAACAAAATCCACAACTGTATTACTGAAAAGTACTTAAAGCATATTGTATAATTATGTTAAAACTGAAGTAAATATAAATGATCAAAGTTTGAATATCGATGAGGCCTTGAGTCCCTACCGTTTATTTTCAATTATTGCTAAAATCTTTTAAACATTTATTCCTTTATTTTCCTTAATCACTAGGTACGAAGATTAATAGTTCATTTAAAACGTACACATTAATAACTTGTTCTTTACCTTTATAGAGTGCTAGTAATCATTTTACATTACCTTGATTAAAAATAAAGAAAATCAGTTCAATCTCATCCTTTCCAGAGCTAAATTGTTGAGTTAGGCAATTGTTTTTTAGATTGCTTTCTTTCATGACTCAATAAATTGAAAAATATTTTTTTTCCTTCAAAGATTGTTTTTAATTTCAGAAGAACTCGCCCAGGATCTTTGGTCAACGGCACAGTCCAGTTGTGCGGTGCTCTATCATCCACGATCTGCAAAGGTTTAGACCACCGGAAGTCTCTATCGAAGAGAAGGAGACCGCGATACCCCGATAGATAGTCAACTCCAAACGGTCCGCAAGGTCTTCAGGAGAATAGTGCAGTGTTTATACGTTCTGCATCACGTTATCTACTACTGGAAAGAAACAAATAGAAAGGGGACTACTCCAAAATCTCGCTTGCACATTTGAACAAAGTGCGGAGGCTTTTCTCTTCACAGATTAATGTCAGTTTGGGTCGTAGCAATGAAATGGCCGGGACGGTGTGTGGAGAACGCTTTGGTTTATGTGCAATGCGCGATTCTCAGCTTTTTCAAAGACGGTTTTAGCCAACAGAAGGCATTTACACGGTAATAATTGTTAAAGAAAATTATTGTGTCCAATAAACAAATTTATGTAATTAAAACTGTTTTGTTAGTGTACAAAATCCCTTAATACAATTTTCCTTCAGTAAAAACATAGTAATTTTTCATATTTTAACGTCATTTAAAATTACAATAAAATAAAAATACTAGTGAAAGAAAATACTACAAAATTGGCATTATCCCTATTCAATTTTGAACCGTATGAGTAAACCACAAATTACAAGTACCGTTTTTTATTATACTGTTGCTTTGTTTTTCATTGATTTATAACTTTTTTATATTTTGACAGAACTGAAGTTGATAAACATTTAACTCTGCTCACATTTTATCATTTTACATTTCATTTTAACCTAACCGTTGTTCCTTTATTATATTTTGATTTGTTTTTTCTTAGCTTTGTAGTTAAAATTAAAAATTTACACATATAAAATTGTAAAAAGGAAATGAAACCATAAAATCAACTATCAATTGACTTATATTCTTCTTGGTATTACAGTTTAAATATATACTGATATTTGAATAATGAAACGAATAAAAATTACAAAGCAATTATAAATATGAGTCGTTATATGTATGGACTATAAGAAGGTAAGATGAATCGACCGGCTAGATATCACCAATTTTTGCGGATCAGGGATGTCGCAACAAAGAAGTGAGTACTCTCTAAAAGTGGCTTAAATTTTTAAGAAGCATAGTCAATATAATGAATAGGAGAAAATCTCCACTCCAAATTCACGCTGTTAATGTTATTAATTATTAACATAAATAACATAAACATAAATTGTTAATAAATTAACAGCGGGAATAAGGAGTTTTCAGCTGTTACTTATATAGGTGAGCTTCTAAAAATATTATGTAATTATTAGAGATTAAACTCAGTGATGTAAAGATTGTTTTTAAATTCCTTAATAAAATTGGAAGGAAAATGTTTTCAAAACTTCAAAACAAAATGTAAAGATCCGCCTCAAAAAACGTAAAAAAACCGCCCTATGATTTACTATGGATAGACAAAACAGTACTAATTGAAAGACTGAGACAACTCCGGTACGAATGTTCGGATTTGGGTAGACCAGGAGCAACTTTGTCAAAACATCACCATGACACAAATTTTGAAGGGAAGGTTGTTGACATGGAAAAAGTCCTGGGGAGGAGATTTATAAAGGAAATGCTTCACATTAAAGGATATGTCAATTTATTTAAGATGCGACAATAATCTTTGCCCATCTACAGTGGTTTGCTTGAGAAATTAAAAATGATGAAGTGAGTGTGGTGTTCAATCCTTTTAAAAAGATAGTTCCTACTCACAGTAAGTTGTTTTGGAACGATCCGGATTTCGAGCCCTTTAGCTCATCATCAGGTTGAAGGACTTCTACAACCACGTCTCTCGACATGAATTGCAGAAGTGAACCCGCTGATACCCCCGCCAACGCGACGTTCCAATTAGCAGCTGGTTTTTTAATGGCGCTCAATTTGAACATCCGAAACGCGGAAATTATAACACAAATAAATATTATAATAGTAAATACTTAATATTATTAAATTACTATAAAATTAATAACAATTAAAATAATTAATTTAATTATTTGGACGTTTAATATTAATTATGTACATATTTAAAATGGGAGGTAGATCAAAATCTGTTATATTATTAATGCATTCATCACCATGTTCAATTTTACATTTTTTAATTTCAAATTTCTCAAACAAATCTAGTTCTTTCCCTTACTCTTACTCACTTCTATCCACCACCAACCAGGGACCACATCCCTATCCGCAACAAATTGGTAATATGTACGTAAATGTTGGTGAAATATGTTGATTAAAAGCTCAGTTGAAGGCATCAATGTCAACGTTGTTGTAAAATAAACAGACACCTCAAATTTCACATAAATCCATGAAATCCGACCCTGAAGGGTCCAGGACGCTTATGCAAATTAGTGCTTTCCAACTGTAGGACTAAACCATAGTTGGAAGTCAGCTACGCCACCCCTAGCCTCGGGCCTCATCTCGCTAGTAAATTACTATAGCATTAATTTAATAAAAGTTGCCGCGGGGGTAAAACCATAAAAGTCCGAAGGTCCGAAACCGGGAGAAAGAGCCCGGCAAAACCAGGACAAAAGCAACTGTATAATAAAGTTTAACACAGGGCAAAGCCTCGGTAATGTACGGATAACTTTTAATGCGGATGGTCTGGGGCAGGGGTGGCTCTTCTTAATCCACCCTCCACCCCTTTAAGATTCTTGTCCGACAGGAGATTAAACATATTATTTCCTGGTCCCCGCTAATAATTTTTGTAGCAAGGATTACGAACAGTATTTTTGTCCTTAATTGGCGGATTTTTGTAACGCAAGTTCCAACTAACAGCAACATTTGGAGTTGATCTATATTTTCAACGATAACAGAATGAAACAGTAAAAAGTAAAATCTCGAACATATCTGCCAATTGTTTACGAATTGTTGGATTTTGTTACCTAACACGAACCATTGAAGCTGACAAGAAGCCAAAATATTTCTGATCCACTACGCCAGGAATATATTTAAAATATAAATTATTATTTACTGCTTGAGTCGCTTTCTTAAATCAAGCCTCGTATTTTAGTTAATTCATTTCCATTTTATTCACCTTACGTTGTGTCAGTGGTTTAAATAATTTGCTAACCCGGAGAATTAACGGTTCCGATTGGATTAATCAATGCTGAGTAATCTGAAGACTAACAGAAGCGTGCCCGATGTTGCGACGGGAATTGGACTCAGCAAGATGTAGAAAATATGAGTCCATGGTAATGCCCTGTTTTATTCGGATATTCCTTTTCGAAGTACGTTGGAATCGAAATGATGCCGCTGAGATTCGAACCCAGCACACTTCCAACGACGAGACGCCGGGTAAACGCCTTAACTTTTGCAGCAACAGGCGTCATCCCATACTTTGTATGAATTATAAAATATACTCTAATTTCAGGGAAAATGGCAAAAAGTTTTGATCCATACAAACCTTACTGCCCAAGCCTTATCGACAATTCCCTTTCCTTTATACCCGCCATGTCGTTTAATATCTCATCCCTGGTAGGCAGGTTTCTGTTAACTTGTCCTCCGAGTGCTGTAAAAAAAGTTATATAACCACACATTTGTAAAATTTATTTTCACATGTAGTAAACACGCACCTCAAAAAGCTACTCTAAAACTTTCTCGTTTAAGAATTTACCTCCTCTTTCTGATAGTTCGATTAATCCTTCGTGCCGAAATATTCGTGGAAAAATTCTTTTCATATCAAATAACAAATCAATTAAATCTGTACTTCTTTGGAAAGACTATGTAGACGATATTTTATGCATACAGTCGGGAACACTAGAGGATGTAGAAAATTCCTCCAATTAATTAATTTTTTACACCATACTTTTTACATTGGAGATAAATAAAGATGGTAATTTCAACAGTTTAGATTTAAAACTCTCCATAATAAATAACCTAATTGAAATAGACGTTCATTGAAAATCCGTAACTACAGACACCTTGATGCCAGTATCTTCATCTCACCCATAGAGCAAAACGTTGCCGGTTTCATTCGGCTCAAAGACTGTATGCTGAAACTCCCATTTACACCTACTGATTATAAAAAAGAATTACAAACAATTAAAACCTTGGCTATAAGCAATGGATATAAAGATATATTTATCAATAAATTGCTAGTAAAAAGAATAAAAAAATTAACTTTAAAAGAAGCAACATTCGGTCTCAGCCACCGCATCAAAAATGAACCGTTAGGTTTTCGTTGCTTGCCTTTCATTGGGCAACTACCAGAAAAGGTAATTAAATTCTTTAACGAGAAGGTTTTAGAATAGCGTTTAGAGGTACGTGTTCCTCTTAAAACCTAATTTTAAAAAAGCAGGGTTCACTAACTTAATTGTAATATATTACGATGTAACAATATATAGGACAAAGCGGCAGAGAAATTAAGACGAGAGTTAAAGAATACTTGCCCAAATTAAAAAAAAATTGAATTTAAGCAACGAAAATTTAAATACAATTTATGTTTTATCTTGACTCACTTTAAAAACAACAGTGATACACAGTTTCAAAAAAGGGAAGGTACTAGATTGTTTATATTATAATTAAACTTGAAGATAAATGCATAAATAATACAATAGATTTTGATCTCACTCCTATTTTAAACATATACCAAAATTATATTTGACAAACAGTCTATTACTCATTTAAAATTATTTCATTACTGTATATGATAGGATAAAATTTAGTTGCATTGAATTCACGTTTTTTGCAGTTTCATAATTTAGCAGCAATTAAACCTAAACCAGCTTCGTTTTTCTTTGTAACTCCTTCAATCTGATGATGTGCGTTTAATGCTCGTAATCCAGATCGTTATAAACAACAAATCTGGGAGTAGAACCATCGTTTAAAAAAATGGAAATAGAAACAATGTGTTTTTATAAGAAAAATTAAAAAAAAGAAAAAATCAATACATTTTTCAAATACCTAATTTGTGTAAAATTAAAACTATTAATATTAGAAAAATGTTGCTAGCTAGAACGTTTGGACACCCATGTACAAATAAGCACTTAAAATTGGCTTTTCAAAAACGGACACATTGAAAGGGATTATACTTTTAATCTAAGGTCTTGATTGTGACGAAAAAGGAAGTCACGAGAGGTATTCGAACCCAAGACTTAGGCTGACGAACCTTCGGGTTTGAATCCCGCTCGTGACAATTGCTTTTTCATTTTATCCAAGACCTTAGATTAAATGAATAATTAATTACAATAATTATTTCTATCAACTATCACTGCTATATATATGAATAGAACGTGTTTTTCTCATAGAGTTGGTATTTTCTGCCCTTAATGTACTTTTTCCAAAATCAAAGGTTTTTCTGAATAGATATTCAAATAATGTTCGAAAATTTTGCTAAAGTCTTGATGAATTTGCAAATTAAAATATAAGTTACATCGTGAAAAAATATTTACTTATT